GGTGATTCTGAGTATGAAGAAGAATCAGAAGATGAGTCAGAATTTGAAGAAGGTTCTGCTTCTGAAGATGAGTCAGAATTTGAAAGTTCTGAAGGTGAGTTAGAGTTAGAGGATGAAAAATATTCTAGAGACTCTAAAGATGAGTCGGATGATGAATCTAATTCTAATCCATATTTTGAATCTGGTGGTGGTCATGCTTCTAGAAGGGAAAATTTTGAAGATGTAGGTTCTGGAGGACAGGCTTTTAAAGATAATCATGTTTCTGGTGGAAATCATGTCTCTAGAGGTGGACCTTCTGAAGGAGGAGCTTCAAAAGGTAATACAGCATTTGATGGTGATCATGATTCTGAAAGTGGAACTTCTGAAGGCAGAGCTTCTGAAGGTGATCCAACTTTTAAAGATGATATTTCTGAAGGTAGTGGTTCTGAACAAGATCCAGAAGCTAACAAAGGTGGAGCTTTTAGTGGTAGTCAAACTTCTAAAGAAAGTCAAGAAGGAGATATTGTTCCAAAATCAGAAGGAGATTCTAAACAAATTCAGAGGACACATAGATTCAGAAATATACCAAGGATATTTGCAAAGTTTGACAAGCTGCAAGATACTGAAGGGACTCTGAGGTATGGAGTATTATTTCATTCTAGTGTTAGATCAGATGCAGAGCTGATATGCTATCCAGACTCTGATTGATATGAAGACAGAGTTGACAGAAGAAATACTTCTAGATATTTTTGTTTGTATCTGGAAAGTCCTATTTCTTGGATCTCTAAGAAGTAAATGGTGGTTGTGTTGTCAACCTATGAAGCTCTCAAGAAGAAAGTGTGGCTGAAGGCCATGAAAGAAGAGATTGATACTATTGAAAGAAACAAGACTTGGGAGTTAACTGAGCTTCCGAAGGAGAAGAAAAATATCAGAGTCAAATGGGTCTTCAAAGAGAAATCTGCATTTCTAAAGGAAGTATTAGAAGTTGCACATTGTAGCAACCAAAAGCAACTTGTAGATGTTCTGACGAAGATTGTCAAGACTAAACACTTTATTTGTTTGTGGGATGGAATTGGTGTTGAAGATTTTTGGTTAGCTGAATATGAATTAAGGGATGATGTTAGAAGTAATTCATATTCAGAAGATGTTGTTGCTCAGAAGCAGTTGAGCTTCTAAGGTTATAGCAATAAGTTGTAAGCTTCTGAGACTGCTTAGTTAGAAGCAGTAGTTTGATGTAATCCAAAGTTGTTACTAATTAGAAGCAGAAGCTTGTGAGGTTACACCCAAAAGTATGCTTAGCTTCTGGGGTTCTTGAACTGAGTTTGTTAGTGTAGCTGTTAAGTTTAGTACTTCCTAGTTTGTACCTTTTAACATAGTCATTAACTTTATATTTTATTAGAGCATACGTGGCAGTTTACTTTTTATATAAATATACTAGTAGTAGCAATCATTTGTATCATTCCTTTTGTAAGTTTTATAGTTTTCATTGCAGTAAATATATTCTCTCTTACATTTCTTTCATTTATTAACCTTGTGCACCAACAAATGCACCATTTAGTAACTTGTGTGCTCTTTCTAAGAAAGACTAACCATGCATATTTATTAATGGATAATATGGTGATAATTTGGCTTCTCTCAAAATATTTAAACCAACTAGGCATATGGAGTAATGATTCATATGATGGAATAAAAAAAGATAACTACAACATGGCTACTTTACAGAAATTTAATCATAAAAATCATGCCTAATACTAGAGTTAACTTGGAAGATGAATGTTCAAACCCATATACCACTCTAATTGAGAAGATATATTTAAGTCAAATAGAGATCTGAGTCATCAATGAGAAATTAGAGCATGAACCAACAAGTTTGGAAGCAAATGATCCCAAGATTCAAAAGTCGTCTACGAAAGAGATGCTAACCTTCATTCTCTCAAGCACTCAAGAGATCATCCAAGTTCTTTCAAGGTTACCCAAGCAAAATTCCTTACTAACAAAGCATTTAAGATGATGGTAGTGACAATGAGTAATTATCTTTCTATATGTTTTATTTCCTGCTAAAGTGTGATTTTCCCTCATTTATTGTTTTATTGTAATAAATATTTTCCCTTCTAAAGTTTATTATAAGTTGTTTAATTTAATGTGTGATTTATGTTCTTATGTTGTTTATTTACTCGTCTTTTTGATAATGGCAAATGGAGAGAAGTATATTTTTAAAGGGAGTAGATTATAATCTTTTTATCTGTGAAGGGGAGTTTAACCACTTCAAATATTTATCTATATGGTGTCATCTTCAAAAGGGAGGAATATAATATTAATCTATGTGATGTTCATGTATAGCCATCAGATGGTTTTGATGATGACAACTAACTACATCAGATGAGTACTGATGATATCAGATGACAACTGATGGCATTTGTCAAAGCAGATTTTAAAGAAAACAACTCAATAAGTCAAACAACTTTTTTTGATATTGATAACTATTTTCAAGAGTTCTTTGTGACATTTGTCAAAAGGGGTGGGGGATTGATTGAAATTGTCAAGTAAACTCCTAATGATGACATCAAATTAAGAAGATATCTCAGGTCTCATAAATCAGATGATTCAAGGATCTAGTTGAAGTTTTGATCAATCATTGAATCAAGCTGGGGAATTTGAAGTCTGAAAGTGAGAAACTCTGAAAGCTTGTCTGATCCTATGCTTACCATCTTAGAGTGATTAGTTTAAATTGTAAAAGGTCAAAAGTAAATCTTGAAGTACTAAGTCAATCACTCACTCACGAAAATCTTTTTAAAACCCCATCTGATTTCATCAAACTTCTTTAAAACTTATCAAGGTATGCATGGAATTGATTAAGAAGTGTTTCTAATCAATTAGGAAAGATAATCTACTACCTAATCGATTAAGGACTTGGTCCAATTGATAATAACAAGGTGAAAGTCCTTCTAATTAATTATAAAATTTATTAATAGATGATATCATATAACCATTTTAGGATTTCCTTTTCTGAATCAGGGTTGTTGTTTTTTTAAGGTGTTTTAATTGATTAAAACATGTGTTAATGGATTAAATCAAATAGTTTGGCACGTGGATCATTTCCTTTTTGAGAAATATTTATCTATATAAATGAGGTTTCTCCTTATTTCATTCAACACCATATTTGTGAATATAAACCTCTCTATTTTTCTTCTAGTCTATTTGTTTATGAAATTACCTTTTCACGAGAATCAATGTAGTGCTGAAAGACTGAAAAGTCATTATGAGAGTTATGATGTAATTGGTGTTATGCTTAATCTGTTGTATTCAAGAGTGTGATTCTCTTGTGAATTATCTTTGTAAAGGACTTAAAGATTGCAAGTTAAACGTGGAAAAAATAAACTTAGGTAAAGGTTCTTGAGTTAAGTCTGTGTGTAAAACTCTGTCCGTTTGTTGTTGAAGGTTCATGGGTTGATCCTGTAAATGCCCAAGTCTGATTTTAGTGGAACACTTAAGAGAAAACTCTTGGGAGAAAGTAATAGGCCAAAGGTTTGGATGAACATGTATAAATCTCGAGTACACTCTCTCTATATCTTTTCTCTATTTATTTTTTGTATCTCTCTTCATCTCCATCTTATTTATATCATTTTGCTTCCATGTATCTATTTTCTTATTGAAACTAATATAAATTGTTTCCAAAAAAATATATTTTTTTATAAATTAATCACGAATTTTGAATATTACAATCCTCCTTCTTATGTTTGGAGTCACTTAATCAACACATTCCTCTCATCAGAAAGAAAAAAAAATATGAATCATTGTGTAGACTAACAAAGGAAAAAGAACTCGCAAAGTATAAGAAAAAAACCAATTGTTTTCATGAATAAATTCATCCACTTTGAAATCGAGCATATAAGGGTGTGCATGGTTAGTTATTTTTAAAAACCAAACCATAATTATTTTCAAACTATTTAAATGGTTTGGATTTATAACCATAACCACATTTTAATCAAAACTAGTTATACAATCGGTTATAAATTTGTTTATGATTATTTAATTTGTTTTTTAGAAAATTTTTAAAAATTAAATAAAAAAATTCTCAAAAGATTTTAAGAAAACATATATTTCTAGAATAAAAATTTCTGAAAAAAAAAGATTTTTTTTCAAAATTATAAAAAAAAAAAGTTTTGAAATTTTGTTTTAAAAAACAACATATTTTTGGAAAAAAAAATATTTTTTTTTTGAAATTATAAAAAATTTCAAATTTTTTTAAAAAAATAGAAAATTATTTTTTCCTGAAAAATAAATTTTTTTTAATTAAATTTTGTTTTCCTGGAAATTTTATTTTCTCAAAATTATAAAAAAAAATTGTGAAAATATATTTTTTTATTTTAAAAATTAATTTTTTTTAAATGAATTAAAACATTTAGATTTTGGAAATAACCGGATTATAATGAATCCAAAAAAATTTAACTGGTTAATAATCATTTAATTATATCAAAATTATTTGGATGGATAATAAAACTATTAATAACTAAATCGATTAATAATCATTCAATTATATCTAAATATTTAAAATAGATTTTAATTTGATTATAGATTTGAGCCTTCCAACTGAATATTTTGCACACTTCTACACCGAGGATCAGGGTTTATGAGAGGGTTCACACCATGAGTATTTCCAAAAATGAATGTTAGTTTCATCTCCAAGTAACCAACATGAATGGTTTTTAATATTGTTGTCCTCAGATTCCACTCCATACCAAATAAAGGGGAAAAATCTGATGTTTGATGATGCCTTTGGGTCTCATAACCCTATCCTTTAACTAAAAACTCAATCTTCCTCACTGTTTGAAAATCCCACCCCAACTTTAGGTTTGAAGCTTCATTAAAAAACATAGAAGAGATCTGAGACCTAATCCACCAATATCCTTAGGTCTACAAACATTTTGTCTGCATTTACTTAAATCACAACAACATAACTAAAAATCAAGAATATTACATTACGACATGTCTAAAACAAAAACTTAAAATTCAAAATAAAATTATTCTTGAAGTGTTGTTCGAAGAGGCAAAGAACTTTCAACTCCATTGGCAGCATTAGAGTTCTTTTCCTGAACAGCCTTAGACAAACCAAACATCTGAAATTGACATCAACAAAAAAACAGTTAGAGGGTAAAAGAGTAATTTTATCTTCAGAAAACTAGACATGATAAATAAAACAGTAACCTTGTTAATTGTTTTCTGAAAGCAAGTTTTGTGTTCATCCATAGAAGCATGAATGAACTCGTCGATGTGATCCTTCAAATCCTCAATGAAAGTGGCTTCCTCGTTCTTCTTCCTTCGACACGAAGATGGCTTTTGAGGTTCGCTTTTCTGGGAATCCATTTGCCTACTCAGACTCTACAAAAAAAACAAAAATTAATTCAATGGATTTAGACAAATTTTGTATAGAAATCGCAAACCTTGTCGCGGTTTCTTTGAAAGTGAAATCTTTGAAGTTGGTTGTGTGTTTCAAACGAAAAGCATTAAAATAAGGGTGGGGTTTTCGTGGAGAGAAAGAAAACAGAAAACAATGGGCTGTGAGTCGTTCCAGAAGGTTCTAAACAATGGGATGGGTTATATTATACTTTTTTTTTGAAATTATGTTTCTCCCACACACCCCCTACTTGAACTTCACATCCCCACATTTTTTGATAATTATCAAAACTACCTTTGTCATTATTTATTCCCTAAAAAAAATGTAGGCTTATTAAAAAATCCGATAATTTTTTTACTAACTCAGATGAAAAAATACGCAATTTTATCGTGTTTTTAAAAATACGATTTTAGTTTTTATCATATCTTTTGTAATATTCAGTACGTTTTTCAAATTTACCAGAAAATTTAATACTATGGTATATCAAGCATTTCTTATATTCCAAAAAAATTGTAGTTCAATTCAACATGCTCTTTTTACATATGTATGGGGTGGATAGTTCTACATATTTTAGTTAGTCATTTGATATGTTTTACTTAGATGTTATATATGAATTTTTGAAAATTTTAATCGATTTATGAAATCTAAGATTAATTCATTCTATGTCTTATATGTCTTAATTGATAGATATTTCTTTTTTTCGACGAAGTGTTATTATGGATACAATCTATTGTGAAACAATATAATAGTATTGCTATTACGTTGGTGCACAAGGAAGATAAAAGACAAAAAGAATATTTACTGATAGCTTCAAATAAGAATTTACAATGAATTTCAATAACCTACTTCACTAGACTATTTATACATAAAATTATATCTAAAATATATCTTCTACAAAGATCTAAGAAGATCTAAGATATATATTTTCTAACAAAGATATAAACAATCTAAATTAATTCTAACACCATCTCTTAATTTATATTTATCCAAAACTGACAACACCAATTTCATCCCTTAAACCAAGAAATTGATCAGTTTTGATAGCCTTTTGTCAGAACATCTGTCAGCTTCTTCTGAATGCTACAGTGCACAACCTCTAATATTCTATTCTGAACTTGATTCCTCGGAAAATGATACTTGATCTCAATATGCTTGCTTCTCCCGTGCAACACTGGATTCTTGGCAAGATTGATTGCAGACTTGTTATCAATCATCAACTTCAGAGGTTTATTTACCTCAATCTTCAGATCTTTTAGCAAGTTCAGAATCCACACAGCTTGACATGCAGTCAGAGCACCTGCAATATATTCAGCTTCACAAGTTGACAGAGCAACAAAAGGTTGTTTCTTGAAACACCAATAAATAGGACCTCCCAGAAATTTGAATAAGTACCCAGAAGTACTTCTTCTGTCAACTCTATCTCCGCACCAATCAAAATCAGAATAACTCAGAAGTTCTGATTCGATCTTTCTTCTAGACGAAAATAACACTCCATATTTCAGAGTTCCCTTCACATACCTCAGAATCCTGACTGCAATTTGGTAATGGGACCACTTTAGTTTGCTCATAAATCTGCTAACCATTCCAACTGCATAGAAAATATCAGGTCTGGTATTACACAAATGCCTTAGAGAATCAACCATCTGTTTGAAGGTTGTAGCATTCACATCCTCCAATCTCTTTAGAAGCTTTAGTTCATACTTCATCTGATGTAAAATGATTCCTTTCTCAGAGTACATAAATTCCATCCCTAAAAAGAAACTCATTTTTCTAAGATTTGTCATCTCAAATGCATTCATCAGAACTTTCTTGAACTCAATTATCTCTTGTTCAAAACTTCCTGTAAGTAGTATGTCATCAACGTACAAACAGGCCAGAATCATATTATCTTCTGAAGTGTGTTGAACATAAACACCATAATCCATCTCACACTTTTGAAACCCTTGTTCCTTGAAAAACAAATCAATCTTCAAATTCCAAGCTCTGGGCGCTTGCTTCAATCCATACAATGCTTTGTGTAATTTGAACACCATCCCTTCCTGATTCTTTTTCTCAAATCCAGGAGGTTGTGAAACGTACACCCCTTCTTGTAATTGACCATTCAGAAATGCGTTTTTACATCTAAATGCATCAGAGGCCAATTCCTGTTAGCAGCTATTACAATCACTAGTCTGATTGTTTCATGTCTCGCTACAGGTTTCATGGCCTGTAACCAAACTTGCTGCTTAAGAGCCTCTTTCGTACTCACGGGTTCAGAGTCTACTAACATTGCACACTGAATAACTTCTCCTTCAGATTTTACTTCAGTGTCTAGCAACATGTCAAACTCTGCAAATCTTCTTGGGATGCTTCTAACTCTTTGTTGCCTCTAAACTGGACCTTCAGAACTTTGGACACCAGAACTTTCCCCTTCAGAAGCAATCGCTTCAGAAATTGGACTTTCTCCAGAACATTTACTATCTTTAGAGTCTGGATCACCATCGGAGTCAGAGTCAGAATCATATTCTCCTTCTGTATCTTCTTCAGAGTCAGAGTCTTTACCAGCTTCAGAAACATGTGTTTCTGACCTTTCTTCAGAAGTTTTGTCATCAGAGTCAGCATGAGACTTTTCCCACTTCCAAACTTATGATTCCTCTATAATGACATCTCTGCTGAACTCAACTTTGTTAGTTTCTGGATAATAAAGTTTGTACGAACCTGTACTGTGATACCCCACCAGTAACATCACTTTGCTTTTATCATCTAACTTCTGTCTTCTGGCTTCTGGGGCATGTTTGTAACATACAAAACCAAACACCTTTAGATGACTAACACTTTTTTTATCTCCAGTCCACTTCTGAATAGTAACTATTTCCTTTAATTTCTTCGTTGGACATTTGTTGAGCACATAACATGCAGTTGCAACAGCTTCTCCCCACAGAGTATGAGGAAGCTTCTTCTCTTTCAGCATGCTTCTCACCATATCTAGCAAAGTACGATTTCTTCTTTCAGCAAGACCATTGTGTTGAGGAGTATATGGAGCAGTAACCTCATGCTCAATTCCATTCTCCTCACAGAAACTTCTGAATTCTGTGGAGTTGTACTCACCACCACCATCAATTCTAAGAATTTTCAGAGTCTGGCCACTCTGATTCTCAGCCTTCAGTCTGAAATTTTTGAATTCAGCAAACACCTCGCGTTTGAACTTTATGAGAGATACCCATGTTATTCTGGTGAACTCATCAACAAATGACACAAAGTATTTATTCCCTCTAGTCGATGCTACTGGAAACGGACCGCACACATCAGAATGTACTACTCCCAAGGCATGTTTTCTCTTGGAGCTACCTCTGATGCAAAGGGTAATCTTGGTTGCTTCCCTTCTATGCACACCTTGCATGACTTTTCAGGCTTCTTGATTGTAGGAATTCCATGTACCAGATACTTTGATTTCAGATGCCCTAAACTTCTGAAATTCAGATGACCAAATCTTCTGTGCCATAACTCACTCTCCTTGACAACACTTGTTGCACTAAGACATTCAGAGTCTACAGTTCTAACATTCACCTTGAATGTTTTGTTCCTTCCCTGCTCTGACTCCATAATCAGCTTCTGATTACAGTCATACAGCTTCAGAAGATTGTCCTTCTTGGTAACTGAAAAACCTTTCTCAACCAGTTGTCCCACACTCATCAGATTGCTTTTCATGCCAGGTACATACCAAACATTTTGGATCACTGCTGCTTTCCCATTGTTTAGAATGATTCTGACATTTTCCATACCTTCTGCATTGAGGTATTTATCATCAGCACATCTGATCTTTGTACTTTTTCCAGAGTCAAAGTCAACCTACCACTTCTTGTTTCCAGTAAGATGGTTTGAACACCCTGTGTCCATATACCACCATTCTGATGAATTCAGATCATTAGGTTCAGAAGCCAACAATAACACAGGTTTATCATCAGAGTCTCCTCTTGATATATTTGCTTCTTCTGACTTCCTTTCTTTGTTGGACCAGCAATCTCTGGCATAGCGACCAAAGTTCTTGCAACAGTAACACTAAACATTCTTCTTGTCAGACTTCTCCTTTTTCTTCTGGACATTCTTCTGCCTATCATAATTTGAAGCTTCTGACTTTTGACCACCATTAGTTTTCTTCCTGGATTCTGACTAAGTCTGCTTCTGATGCTTCTTACCAGAAGTTACTTTCAGAGCCTGCTGCTCTACTTTCCTCTCAGAAGTTCTTGTTGTCATACACAACTCATAGGCCTCTAGAATACTTTGCAGCTCTTCAACTCTCATGGTGCTCAGATATTTAGAATGTTCAATGGCTACCACAATGTAATCAAACTGAGAAGTTAAAGATCTCAAGATCTTCTCAATGATTACTTGTTCAGACAGAGTTTCTCCACAAGCTTTAATCTCATTAGTGATCAAAATCACTCTAGATATGTATTCAGAAACCTTCTCGTTGTCCTTCATGTTGAGATTCTCATATTGCTTTCCGAGAGACTGAAGCTTCACCTTCTTCACTATTGCGTCACCACCATAACATATGACCATTGTGTCCCATGCATCCTTCACTATTTCAGAATCAATAATCTTTTCAAACACATTCGCATCCACACATTGATGGATGTAGAACAACACCGTCTGATCTCTCTTCCTCAGCGCCTTCTATGCTATCTTCTGGGCCTCTGTTGCATCTGCTTCTAACAGATTTTAGCCATCAGTAACAAGTTCTAACACATCTTGAGAACCAAATAACACGCGCATCTGGATCTTCCAACGATTCCAGTTTTTTCCATCAAATACTGGAAGCTTGGAATGAATATCTCCACCGTTTCTGTTCATCTTCTACCTTATGCAATTTACGCAGAGTTTCCTAAATCAATGTTTTCTAAATAAAAAACCCAGAATCAGAATATTGTAATTCTTAATCACAATACTTCTTTTCCCGCGGATTTTGAACCGGAGCTCTAGATACCAA